ATTTTGAAATCGAGAACTGAATCGAGAACTGAAAAATAGCTGAAAAACAACTTTAGCTTTGTTTAGCTTTGTTTAGCTAAAGTTTAATCAAGAAATCTCAACTTGATCTTGATCAACGTGATCTTTTCGTGTTTTATTTTAAGAATATTTGTTTATTTGCATCATTTCATGTCTCATCTTTTCATCATTCAAAAAAAAACTCCCAGAAAACACAAAAAATTGATTCCCGATTTGATTTGAAAACGATTTGATTTTCCTCATCGACTCCAATCATCATCGTTGTGTTTTTCTTTCAAATTTGGCGGGCAAATTGTGCACGATTCGAAAAGGCATACACACAAAAAAGGAAAAAAGGAGAGAATGAGAATACAGAGAAAGAGACTGACTCATCGCCGAGGGGTCGATCGGCGATTCGTCCCTTGCTTGCCCCTTTTCTCAGAAAAGCGATTGAATAGGGAAAACTGTCTGATCATCTATGTCTCTAATGCCCAAAAAAGATCTATGATTTTCTGAGAAAACGATCTATAAGAGAAAACGGCTCTTTACAAGCGCTGGTTCGACACAATGGAAAGGTGGGAGTGGGGGATGAATGAATCAGAATGTTCAGATGAATGTCCAGGTGTTTGTCTACCAATATTTTGCGGGTTTTCTTGGAATCTTCGATTTTATTTGCTTAACCCAGCACAATGTTTCTATTTTCAACCCCATCTTGCCAAAAATACCCAGTTAAAGCCCTCAGAAAGACGATTGAACTCCAATCATTAGAGTCAGGCCAGGATTTCGATGTTCTTGGGAGAATCGCTAGAACTTTGTCCAGAAGCGCTCAATCAATTTACATCCAAAGAAGAAAATTTAGCAAAATCTTCAGCCTACATCATGGCTATAATGAAATTTTTCTAAAATATAATTCACTTTTAATTTCAAGCTTGTGAAGCGAGCTAGAGGGGCTCAAAGTTGAGCAGAGACGCAAAAAAAGTTCTGACAACCCAACTTTGAGCTCCTCTAGCTCGCTTCAAAAGTTTTAAATGAAACTTTTAGCTTATCTATTCTATGTAAAGCAACACGGAGAATCGTTTGGTGATAGTTAGAAGTTTTCTGGATCTAAAACTAAGGGTCTAAAGCCTTTGCCCTCCTAATTTTTCTCACAAAAATGCAAATCTTTTGAGTGAATTTTATTTTAGAAAAATTTCGTTTGGAAAAATTTCATTGTAGCCATTATGTAGGCTGAAGATTTTGCTAAATTTTCTTCTTTGGGTGTAAGTTGATTGAGTGCTTCTGGACAAAGTTCTAGCGATTCTCCCAAGAACATCGAAATCCTGGTCTGACTCTAATTATTAGGTTTAGGCTTAGGCTTCAATCGTCTTTATTAGGGCTTTAACTGGGTAAATTATGGCAAGATGAGGATCAAAACAGAAACAATGTGCTGGGTTATGTAAATAGAATCGAAGATTTCAAGAAAAACCGCAAAATATTGCACGTACGAGGTGTTGCAGACTCTCAACTCTTACTGTTTGCTTGTTTACAGGGCTTTGAAGGCTACTATTCTAGTAAAATTTCCAAACTTTAGTCAACGAACGTTTCTCATGAATCTTTAAGATCTGATAGTTCAAGAATTTCACTTATTTTTGATTCTCCATTCTCCCAAAAACAAAATGAATCCCAAAATCGTCTCAAAGAAAAACAATCAACATCTCCGATTATTTTTGATGATTCATCGATGAATGTTCTTCCCTTCTTAGAATTCCTTGCCCTGTCTACCCCCAAAATCACTAAAAAGCAAATCGAAATCATTGTGTTATCACCGATGAGTCAATTTTCGAAAGGGGAAAAGTGATGAGTAATTTCTCTCAAGTCAACTGAAAATAGCTCATCATTTTTGGGAAAAATATCATTCTATTCCATGTAAAGCAACACGGAGAATCGTTTGGTGATAGTAGGTTACGAAAACTAAGGGTCAAGCCTTGCCCCCCTAATTTTTCCACAAAATCAAATCTTTAAATTTTAGATGTTCAAATTGATTGATTCAAAAAAAGTGGTAAAAGATAAAAAAGAGGTAAAACTGTTATCTTGGTACTAATTAATAAAGATTTGCCACCAAAATTGTTCCAAAACTATTACTGACTAGGCCAAGCTAGCTGCAAGATTCTTGACTATTCTTAGATGATTAAATCATTATTAGGAATGATTATTAGTTCATTAGATCATTATTAAATGATCATTAGATCATTAGAACCTGTCATTCGCTACTAGAAAGCCAAAAAGTAAGTCAAGAAGTAGATTTGGTCTAGTCTATGAATGTTCCACCTGATCCACAAGATCTCATTACTGACTAGGCCAAGCTATGCAATTCATTTCCCAATTCAAACGATTGGCAACCTTGAAAGTTTCTCCAAAATAGGATGCGACAGAGAGTGGGTGCTCTCTCTTGTTCCATTCTATCCTAGAAAAGATCGCTGATTTGTATGCAAATCCGCGAGTATCGGATCATCGTCGAGTCGCCAACAAAGAAGAGAATAGAGCGGACCGGTCAGAACCCTTTTAAAGATCTTTTACCCAAGGGGTGAATGCAATTGCCTTTCCATTGTACTCGACTGTATATCTGGCTTCACGCCAAAACTCAATGGTTTTTTTCTGGGCTTTTTCTAGGCTAAGCTGATCACAAAAACGGATTTACGACTTTGCAAAAACTGGATGTTTTTAAAGAAGAGTTTTTGATGATGGATGAAAAAAGTTGGCTTGCTAGGGTTTGGTTTTTAGTTTTTGCTTGTGAATCTTGTGATTTGTCAGCCCTGGATTTGTTGTCAGCCCTGGATTTGTTGTCAGCCCTGGCTTTGTTTTCGGCCCTGGATTTGTTGTCAGCCCTGGATTTGTTGTCGGCCCTGGATTTGTTGTCGGCCCTGGATTTGTTCCTGGATCAATGCCTAGGATTTACTCATAGCTAAGTAATTAGCTAATAGCCTACTAGACCAGCCTACTAGGCTTTAGCCTACTAGCCTAGACTTTAGCCTACTGCTAATAGCCTACTAGCCTCCTAGACCAGCCTACTAGACTTTAGCCTACTGCTAATAGCCTACTAGCCTACTAGACCAGCCTACTAGACTTTAGATTTCATAGCCTTAAGTACCAACTTTGTGAATACATTGCTTTAAAAGTCAATCAGTCAGTCAGTCAGTCAGTTTTAAGTCAGTTCTCAAAGGAATTGAACGTTTATGAGAGTTATTATCCCAAGTTGAACGATGAAGAGACCAAAAAAAGTCGGATTGGTGCGCAAATTGCTCTTCTTTCCATCATCATCTCTCAACAGCAAAAAAAAATATTTGAAATGACTTCACTAAGCTTTTATTTCTTGAAGAAAACAGTTTAAGAATCATTAAAACATTCATTGGAACATTGTTGGAACGTCGGGAAATTGTTTCCGGTGTTTTCACGATGGGAAAAGTGCAAAAAACGGAAGAAAGTCGCAACCTTTTAGCGCAATTTTTCAACGTTTGCTCAATTTTTGAATTGAGGATTTAAAATTCGATATCTCTAGCTCTTTACTATTAAGATTTCAGGATGCTAGTCTACTAAAGCTTTAAAGCTTGTGCTTCATTGCTATTAGGTGTGTGAAAAAGTAGTCCACGTTTTTTATTTTTATTTTGTTTAAATAAATATATCTAAACAATTTTTAATTTTTTGTTAACGATATATATATCGTTTAAAAGCTTATTTTTTCCTCTTTCGAATGATATATTCATTTTGTTAAAAGGAAGACAATAAACTACCTTCATTTTAGTTTGAAAATGGTATACACAAGTATCGTTATTCGGTCAAATTTGCTTTATGAGTTCAAAAATGGGTTGAAAGCTGCGGAGGCTGCACGTCGAATTCGGAATGCGTTTGGCGAAGACGCCGTTACTGATGATACCGCTAGGTTTTGGTTCCGACGATTCAAAGGTGGTAATGAAAGCCTAGAAGATGAACCACGTGGCGGCCGCCCTGAGACCTGTTCGGATGACCAAATAAGACGCTGTCTTCTCGAAAACCCTCGTTCAACCTCTTCAGAAATAGGCCTTACATTAAATTGTGATGGGTCAACCGTAAGGAAACGCTTGAATGCCATGAATTTTATCAAAAAGTTGGACAAATGGATACCGCATGAATGATAACGCGCGACCACATGTCTCCTTACAGACTCGACAAAAAATCCAGAGTGTTGGATGGGAGGGAGGTTTTACCACATCCACCTTATAGTCCAGACCTTTCTCCATCTGATTATTATTTATTTTTGTCTCTGTCTAACTTTTTGGCCAATAAACGGTTCAATTCCGAAGAAGACGTCAAAACCGAGGTTGATCTTTTCTTCGCCTCTAAGGACCAAATGGATACCGCATAAAAATTAAAAACGTGGATTACTTTTTCACACACCTAATAGATTAGTCTTTGCTATGAAGCCTAAATGCTAGATTTGGAACTGAAAAAAAGATGCACTGAGAAGTCCTGTTCCAATTGTTTCCATCCAATTGTTTTTCCATCCAATTTCCATCCAATCCAATTGTTTAGCTTAGCATTTTCTGTTTCTACATCTAAATTCATCAATTAGCTGTCATTCAAATCATTCTTTGCTCTAAACAAATAACTTTTTAACATTTTAATTAATGAACATCATTTAGTGAACATCACACTAGTCAAAGTATTACAAAGAAATTTTGCTGACATTGGGGTGAAGGTGAGGAAGAAACCCAAATACGCAATAAAGAAAAGGAAAAGAAGAATCCTTTTCGTTTTTTGATTGAATCACAGGCATCATTCTAACAATAACATTTGTGAAGAAGTCAGTTTTTGAAAAAGTATGAAAAAGTATGAAAAAGTATGAAAAAAGTATGAAAAAGTACGAAAAAGTCAACTCAAGATTCAAAATCAAAGAATTCATTAATCAAATAAACCGATACATCACAAAATATTATAAAAAAAGCATAAAATTTAATAAATAAATCAATCCTAGAACTTTCTTACAATCAAACTTCCGTCTTTGGCCTTTTCTCGAGCCATGCTTTGATGCGGGGAATTTCCTAAAAGATTAATGATCAAGAATCAATCAAATTTGACTGAATTCCAAACGCCCTTTTTTAATTAGTCCTTTTTTAAATGTTTTACGTTGATTTTATGCTTAGATGACCTTGATTTTATGCTTGGATTACCTTGATTTTTATCAAAACCAAAATGTTACCTGTATTCTTACAAGAAACGCGCTGAGTCCTTTATATTTTGCGAGTTGTCGGGGGATAATTTTCTGATCCAAAAAGGAGACCACATGAAAAACAACGAGATCCGCTAGAGATACCTGAAATTGAGAATTGAATGGAGAGTTGGATTGAGAATTGAATTGAGAATTAAATGAAGAATTGGATGAAGAATTGGATGAAGAATTAAATTAAGAATTGAATGAAGAATTGAATAAAGAACTGAATGAAGATTTAAATGAAGAATTTAATGAAGAATTTAATGAAGAATTTAATGAAGAATCGAGAAATGAAGCTTTAGAGAAAAGAGAAGCTTTTTTAGTCTCACCTGATTCCCCACAAGATACCCAGATCCATTTTTCTCCAAGAACTCCTCGTAGAGAGTGAGAAATGGATGAATCACGTCTTCTATCAGCTTTTTGAGAAGATTGATCTAAAGCGAGCATAGCTAAAGCTAAAACGAGCAAGCTTTCTAGGTTGTAAGTCAGCCTTTACTTACCTTCGCCGTCTCACTACTCTCGTCCAACCATGGCTGCATCTTTCCCAGCAATTCTTCAACTCCCATCACCAACTCGTCTACTTTAGCCTCCTCCCATGCATCTTTTCCGGCAAAACCTATGATTAGCTATAAGATAGTCAGACTTATATTTAAGGGTATCTAATTTAATCTATCTAATTTAATCTATCTAATTTACTCGTGAGGATATCTAATTTAAGGATTTAAAGATTCAACTTACCAAACTGTTTTGCTAAATATCTCTCAATGGCCCGACAATGGGAGAGACTTCGATCATCGACTTCTAATAATGGTAACTGGCCCCAGGGAATGGCTGAAAGCAATTTTGTGATTTGAGATCAGCAAGATTTTTATCAAACATTTATAGAAACATCTAATATAGATTTATATTAGACTTATATCAAGATTTTGATTCCTTTCGATTTAGAGAAACAAATCAGCAAATTGAACAAAACTATCTATTGGGCTGTCCAGAAAATCTTTCCGTTCCTTTTCGTACTTCTATTTAAAACCAACAAATGCACCAATTGAACTACGATTTGTTTCATTAGAAAAGCCAATTATTTTTCTGCAAAATAACATTGAAACGGGTTTAACAATGTCTTATTTCTGGATTTTTATGGAAGCATGAAGTCGGATAGTCAAAAAGGCGACGACTCGATGATGCGGACACTTTAGCTTTAGAAAAGACACACTTTAGCTAAGGAAACCTATCTTGGTGTCAATAGATAAAAGATAGAGCATAAAAAGTTTGGTAAATAGCCGAATTTTCAGAGAAATTCATTCAACCAATTTCTTCCTAGAGGCTTTTATAGCTTTTTTAGGACATTATCACTCTCGTTTTCACTCTAACACGTTTTCACTCTCGGATTCGCTCGAAAGTAAACCTAAATTGACTTTTAAAAGTGAGAATTTGAATAATAAGCACTTTTTATTTAGAGAAAACCATAGTTTAATTAATGAATTTGTTGATTTCAACGGAAGTATGAAAAGGAACGAAAAGACTTTCTGAGCAGATTAAATTGTCAACTTTTCCAATAAAAAATTGGTTTTTGCAAATGTTGAATGCATCAAACGAAGTACTTTTTGCACCATTAGAAAGATCTAGGTTTTGTCTGCAAAATGGTTGTTGCAAATTTAGAAAAGCTTTTGTTTTTCGAGTTTTTCGGGAGCGCAAAGGTGAGTAGGCAAAATCGACGGTTGACATCGACGAGAATCGACGATTGGCAACTTTTTTTGATGGGAACTGACACAAACTTTCTATGCCAAAGAAAGGTCCATCTTTGTTAGATTTCTAGTCAAATTCCTAGTAAAATCCATGCAACCGTCTTCTACAAATTTCAAACTATTCAGAGCGCCTCATCTGATCAAAATTTTTTATTTGAAAGCTTTTATTCAAACAAAAATTAAGAAAAAAATCGCTGGAAGGATTTGGTTGAAAATGTTACCGAAAATGTGAAAAACTAAGAGCTTTATTTCGCGTTAAAAATTAGGAGCAGCACTTGCCAAAAATGCTGTGAAGTCGGCGCCTTTCTGTTTGTTAATCGTTCGTTTTTTTGTCAATTTTGACAACTTTTCTTTGCACCTTGCAAAATGTTAAAAAACAAAAGCTTTTCAATATCTCTTAAAAGCCATTTTGTTGAGAAAAGATTTATCTTTCGAATGATACAAACTAGATCTCATTTGGTGCAGCCATCATTTTTAAAATCCACTTTTTCCAAACAGTTTGACTATTTGGTAAGCCAAAAACCTGATAGACAACCTAATAGACAACCTAATATGCTGTAAATTCGGTGCTTTTCCTTTTGTCAATTGTTCTTTCAAATCCTTCAAATCCTGAAAACTTCTATTCAAACCAAAACTCAGAAAGAAACGATCTTGCAATTGTCAGATCTTGAAAACTTAAAGTCAGCGCTTTTTCAAATCTATTTCAATCATTCATATCATATTTTTATGGTTTCTTTACTCACTTGGCTTCATTTGGACCCATTCCCTTGCTTGTATCCGCCGATCGTCGAATTCCACATCGGCTAACATAAAGAGCAATCGTGAGGGTTCAGCTCTGCCCATTGCATCAAAATAAGTAAGACGATAAGTGGGCATTTTCGCGGATACACTGAAACTAAATCTGAAACTATTAGGTGTGTGAAAAAGTAATCCACGTTTTTAACGTTTAAATATAAAAGACCATAAGTTTCGTTAAAATAATTTTTATTCAACGAAATAATCACCATTCGAAAGAACAACCTTTTGCCAACGTTCTACAAGTAAAGACATTCCACGATAATAAAAATCTTGGTCCTTACAAAAGATCAACCTCGGTTTTGACATCTTCTTCAGAATTGAACCGTTTATTGGCCAAAAAGTTAGACAGAGACAAAAATAAATAATAATCAGATGGAGAAAGGTCTGGACTATAAGGTGGATGTGGTAAAACCTCCCATCCAACACTCTGGATTTTTTGTCGAGTCTGTAAGGAGACATGTGGTCGCGCGTTATCATTCATGCGGTATCCATTTGTCCAACTTTTTGATAAAATTCATGGCATTCAAGCGTTTCCTTACGGTTGACCCATCACAATTTAATGTAAGGCCTATTTCTGAAGAGGTTGAACGAGGGTTTTCGAGAAGACAGCGTCTTATTTGGTCATCAGATAAAAATAAAAAACGTGGATTACTTTTTCACACACCTAGTAAATCTAAAACTAAATCTGAAACTAAAGTTAATCGAAAATCCGTCTACTCAACTAGGTTCAATCAAAGAAAACACCCATAAAAGCTATTAGCTGTAAAGTGAAATGAAATGAAATGAATCGGAAAATGTAATGAAAGAAAGAAAATATCAAAGTAAAATTGAAATTTACAAAGTTACAGTAGATGAAAAGGTTTTTACAAAAGGCGAAGTCCATTGGGAAATCAAAAATGGTTAACTTTGGTAGAAACTACGACGAAAATCAGTCATTTCAAAGAATTACAAAAACTTTTCCAATGCCCAAATACTTGAATATGACAAATATTATGGAAAATTTATGGAAAATTTACATTTAAACACATCTAATATTAGTAGAAATGACTCAAAAGCAACAAATCGATGTCTTCCCGGTGAGCTGAGAAGTAATAAAGCCTCTTTGGTTAATCTCTTGTACCAAATTTCGCCTCATAACACAAGTCAAGTTTTCTCAAAAAAACGATCAATAAACTATAAGTTAGCTGGCTCGAAAATGGCAACATAAGGAGTGAAAAATTTCTGCGCCCACACACAAAAAGATCTCTTTTTTTTTCTTTTTTTTTTAGGGCGGGTTCACGTGTTGAAAGGAGAGCTAATGGCCAGGATATCCTTTTCCGTTACTAAGGCAGAAAAATGGAGTGAAGGGGAGATCTCACCTTTTTTGAGAAAAAGAGAGAAGCTGATGGGACTGACATCAAAATTCCCAACAGAAATTAGCTGCGAGATGGAAAACGGTGATGGGCTAACTCTCTAGAAATAACCATAGTAACTTGCCTAGGGTGAACTTGGGCGTCAAAATGAGTAAAGAGGCAAATCTTTCAAAAGCTTTGCTAGTTTATCAACAAAAGCAATCGAGTAAATGGCTTTGATTTGATGAAACTTGTATTGAAGCAAGCACAGAGCTCAGGCTCAGGTTTGAATAGTTTCAGTTAACGAGTCAACATCTTTGGTCTTAAGACCTGGGCTGTCTTAAGAGCGAGCTGAGCGCTGGAGCTATATTTATTTAAGTTGAGGTACTAGACATGGTTTTTTGGCAAAAGCAAATCGGACCGGGCTAGCCGGATCGGTCGGACGGATCTGATTGGGCTAGCCCGATCAGTCGGACGGATCGGACCGAGCTAGCCCGATCGGTCGGACGGATCAGATCGGCTAAGGCTAACCGGATCGGTCGAACGGATCGGGTCGGATTGGGCTAGCCTGATCGGTCGGACGGATCGGGTCAGGTCAGCCTAGCCAGATCGGTCGGACGGATCGGGTCGGATTGGGCTAGCCTGATCGGTCGGACGGATCGGGTCAGGTCAGGCTAGCCAGATCGGGATCGGATCGTTCCTCATCCGATCCGATCTGATAACCATTTCTATCAGGTTATACGATCCACTCGTTTTTTTGTATCCGATCCAGACCTTTTGAGAAAAAGTTTGGATAGTTTAAATAGCAGATATGCTTAGGTTATAATTTCAAAACAAAGGACTAAAGTGAGCATAGACATAAATTAGATAAAACAATATGATTGGGTTTAACCTGTTAAGGTGTGGGTGTTCAAGGGTGTTCAAGAATTATGGGCACTTTTTTCCTAGTGCATAGCTCCGCCTAGGGTTAGCCATTCCCCACAAAACGTTTTTGATAGAATTTACTGCTTATTTTCAACACGTCACTTCAATACTTTACTCTGAAACTCAAAATCTGAGGAAGCGTAAAGAAACGAAACAAGATTGAGTTAATGTCTCAAAAACTCGAGAGCCTCTGGGACGCGGCTTCTTGTGACCAAATTTTCAACATATTGATAGAATCTTCTCGAGCTTTTGAGATTTGAATTTCTATAGAGTTGCTAATTTTGAGTTTCTGAGTAAAGTATCGAAGTAACGGGTTGAAAATAAGCAGTAAATTCTATCAAAAAAGTTTTATGGTGAATGGTTAACTGAGGAAGCGTAAAGAAACGAAACAAGATCGAGTTAATGTTCAAGACTTCGAGAATCTTCAAATTTAGCTTCGAGACTTCGAGAATCTTCAATTTAGCCCAAAATTCGTTGCCATTTCGGCAAGACGCGGTCTGGGCGATAAAGAGTTCATCAGAAGCTCGATTTTCTGGGCGGAAAATTGCCGGGAAATGAGGGGGAGAGGCCAAGGAATGAAGGAATGAAGGAATGAAGGAATGAAGGAAGGCGTTGGGCCGAGAAGAAGAAGAGGACGGGGATGAAGAAGGGGGGATAGGAGGGGGTGAAGGGTTGAACGAGTGAGGGAAAGGAGGAAATCGGGGACCCCCTCTCTTCACTAGTGGAGAAAGGGCCGGAAGCCTAGACTCACCCGTGGCCCTGCCTCTCTTTCTCTCATTTTTCGGGAGTTTTTGGGATCATGCTCTTGAGAAAGTGGTTGAACTTGGGGAAATACTTCACTACTCAAGCAAGTAGCGAGCAAGATCAAATAGCGATCAAGATCAAATAGCGATCAAGATCAAATAGCGATCAAGATCAAATAGCGATCAAGCTCAAGTAGCGTGAAGGACTAGCCAAAATATGTGGGACTTGTTGGGTTAACAATGTGCCTCAAATACAACTCAAGGATCTCTCTCGATCATATTGGCTTTTTCATCTAATCCTACAAGGAATTCTGTCTACTGTAGCTTACTGTAGTTTAATATTTACCTTAGCTAAAGCCCCTTTCCCTCTGACTTTGCGCGGGAAAAATTTCCGAGAAATCATCCCGGGAAATTGGCGGGAAATCATCGGGAAATCATCGAGAAGTTTACTTTTACGGAACGGGAAGTCTTTCTATCGCTAGCTGGAGAAAATAACCAACTTAACCAACTTCTGGAGACAATTACCAATATATAAATATATAATTACTTATATAAATACTCAAAGTGAAGGAATCCATCAACAGAAACAACAGGTTTCAGTAGTTGTACCTAAAGGTTTTAAGGTGTTCAAAGCACTTGTTAGATAGCTGGCTGATTATCTGTGGTAGGCTACAGTATACCGGTATGCCTGAATACTTTACAAGACTCCAATATAGTAATCTTTTAAAAAAGAATCACAGAGCCGCTTCTCAACTCGTTCCTGATGTTCAAGCCTGTGCTTTTGAATCTTTATAATCTATTTATAAATTTCTAGAAGCTATTTCTGAATTTCTATTGGCTATTCTTATAATCTATTTCTATAAACCATTGATAATTCTATTTCTATTTCTAGAAATTACGGTCTCTAAACGTAGCTGCTTTATACAATGTGATACGAAGAAAGTTCAAAATTCACCAGAAAACCAATAACATTACTATTTTTGTGTAGTTTTACACGTCTATGATAAGATCTTTATTCAGCGTCATTTTAGAAACCAAAAATTTTTGTGCATGTACCGGGCCACCTTGGGAACAGCGTTGATGAGCTCTCACCAACACCGAAAATTCACAAATCAACTAAAGAACGATAAGAAAAAAACATCCTATACACCAGAAAGATTTTTTTTTCTTATAGAAAGAAATACAACTACAAGTTTCTTTATCACAATAAACGAAGTGTTGGGGGAAAAGAAATTCGGTGGATTTCCATATTGCTAAAGAGAAGAACTGACGAAAATGAGGGTCTCAATTTGGAGATTTTCTCAAAATTAGACTCATCCATTAGGCTTAGTGGTGAATTGGAAACAAAAACGTCGAAATTTTCGAAGAGGGAAAAAGAAAAATCACATTTGCTGAGAATGGGCTCAGGCACATCAGTTGGGGGTGGATTTGAGAGGAAATTTTGGGGATTCTTTGTGTGGAAAAGAAATGCGTCAACTCTAATGTCTCTTAGATAATTAATTTAAAGTAATATCAAGCTTTTCAAGGCTAAAAATAAAGTTCACACGTTGGCCAAAGCCAAATTTTCAAAGCTTTTCCCGTTTCGACGCTTCTCCGACACAAAGAACCCACTTCGTGAAGAAAACTAGAACAAAAAAAGTGACCCATAAGTTGCATTTTTGATTCGAGCAAGAGAAAAAAGCCCAAAAAAAATGAAACTAGACAAAGGAGGGGGAAAGAATTAGAGAAATTGGGCACATAGAACTTCTTCGAATAAGTGGCGATATGCGGTAGTGATGAAAGGGTTTGATTTTCGGGAAATCATGTTAAAAAGAAATCGAAATTTACACGTTTGATATAGCTTTTGCATTTTTTAACTACTGGGTTGCATTGGATTGACGGGAGCTTGAGCATTTCCTCTCTGAAGACATGGAGCAAATGGGTTGATCTTGTGGAGGTAGCACAGATTGCAGACTCGAACCTGGAATTGGATTGTTGCTAAAATCGATATTTTAATTGATAGTTGACATGATTTAACTGATATTTTACAAGGTTATCTTATGGATACTATCCGGTTGTGGCCCTTGTTCTTTATTAGGCGTCCGGAAATCCTTTCTTCCTTTTTTTTCTTTAAAACCAATAAATGCACCAATTGAACTACGGTTTATTTCATTAGAAAGGCCAATTATTTCTCTGCAAAATAACATTAAAACTGGTTTAAAATGTCTTATTTTTTTGAGAGTGTGCAAAGTCGGATAGTCAAAAAGGCGACGACTCGATGATGCGGTTTAGACACTTTAGCTAAGGAAACCTATCTTGGTGTCAATAGATAAAAGATAGAGCACAAAAAGTTAGGTAAATAGCCAAATCTTCAGAGAAATTGATTCAGCCAATTTCTTCGTAGAGGTCCTTATAGATCTTTACGAAAAACACTCGCGGATTTGCTTAAAAGTGAACCCAAATTGACTTAAAAAGATGAAAATTAAACAATAAACACTTTTTATTTAGAGTAAAGCATAGGTTAATTGGTGAATTTGTTATTTTTCAACGAAAGTATAAAAAGGAACGAAAAGACTTATTCACTAACCTAATACCTAGTTTTTGTGCTCATAGATCTTTTTTATCAGACCAAAGAATCCAAAGATGTTAGATATATTTTTGTACAATCTGAACCGAAAGTTTTCTTGTAAGCTGGATTATGTCTAGAAAAAGTACGGAGCTTTCCAATGAGATCTTTAGCCTCAAAATTTGTTTCATTGCTTCAACACTCACTTTTCGATCATATCCTAGTTCAGGAATTGAAATGCTATTCGAAGAACATTTGTGGCAAAAGATTCGACCACAATTCCGACAATGATGTCTTCTTCGGACAACCGTGAACGGAGATGAGCAAGCTGTACATTGTTCACAGTCTTCGTCGGGAACCCATCGAACTCCTGAAATGTTCAGTTGTTGAACTGCTTCTAGAAATAGAAAAATTCAAACAGTTTTCTTACAATCTTTCTTGAACTCACCAATAAATGCAGGCAAAGGCAATGTCTCGTGTACTTCGACACCCGTTTCTTCTTCGCTACTCGTAGGATTGGGAGCATCTTGTCCGTTAACCTCATAGACAGGAATGATTTCCGAGGGTTGGAGAATCATTTTCAAGACCTAAATGCAAAAATTAGTTTATTTTAGCCCATAAAACTACAAGTTACCTTTCTGACTTCTGAGCTATAGTTGGATTGGAGTTGATCGGCGACCCCAGAGATACATACGAACAAGCGATGCAAGAGATCTTCCGCTGATCGGAATCTGGCTCGGAGATCGTGTGAATCACCACTAAAACATGTTGATAAAACTTGTTTATGCTTCAAAAAGATAATTCGAGCTTTGTATATTTAATCTAGTCACATCTACAGGATATTCAATATTTATGGGAACCAGTAGATTACTAGGTTTAGAGCTTATTTTGTACAAGTTTAATAATAAAAAGAAAACACTTCGAGTTTAAAAGTCTCCATAAATATTGAACACTTTATACAAAAGTGCATCACACAAATTCAATTCATGAAGCAGCAGCCATGGACGAGTGGCTAAGAGCCCTATAACTTAGTCGGGAGGTCAAGGGTTCAATCCCGCTGGTTAGATCATTGGTTCTTTTTTCCATACAGGGTGCGGCACTATTACGTAGGCATTACGTAGACACTAGACATGGGAAATCGGGCGACGGGGCGACGATATTTTGGCCAATAATTTTTACCGAAGAAAGTTATTGATCTATTTCTTTTTGCATTAAATAATTGTAAGAGCTGAGAAAACAGCAACCGCATCACTCACCTTGGCCTTTTCTCTGGTTGTTCTCTGTAAGGCACTCAGCTTCTCAACTTCTCTCAATCCAAATCGAAAATCGCCAATCTCTTCACCTATAAGATTTATCGTTACAGTCATGCACAAAAAAAAATGCTACATCGTTTTTACAAAACTCTACGCCTAAATTTGACTTACTAAACGTCTTCCAAATTCTATGCTCTCAAAAGGTTTTAGATAGCAAAAAGCTTCTTTTTTTGTGAAAAAGTGTTAAAGTTGCAACAATTTATTTAAATTTTGATTTGCCTGTGATGACTTTGTTTATTGCAACAAACATAATGTTTATTCCAACCTGATCCTGCCCGAAAATCGGACATCATGAGCGCATCTGGGGATTCGTCTCTTGTCTCATTTGATTCACCAGTGCAGAGGATTTGCTCCAACTAAAATTCAATTTACAAATCTTTTTTACAATAAATTCCTCACCTTTCTCAATTCGTGTGACTCAAGTACTCGAAGGAGATTTCGAATCTTTGTGAGCAACGAGTGAAATGGGCGGAACATTTCCGAGAGGTTCTCTGCTGGTCCCTCCACATTCAATGCACCGTCAGGGTAAAGAATTAGGCCCCTAAAAGATTTTATATAGATAATTAATTAATTAATACATTAATTCTACATTTTTATTGAAAGCAAGTTATCCTATCTTGAATAACTCTGCAAAACTAACCAAACGATCGCTAATCTCGGCACAACGATCATCACCGAGGGATCACAGTAGTCGATTTGGTCTTGTGTCACATAACAAACCCTAAAATTTGCAAAAATTTGAATTTAACGTCTGAATTTATATTTATTTCAGTTAAAATGCAGAATTTCAACACTCACCGCAAAGCTCTTTCCAAACAATCCGAAAACAGGACAGCGACGTCAAGCTGACAATCGTGTTCTTTCACACTTTTCACGGGAACCATTGCAGATACGTATCTAAATTTCAGAATTACTTTGAAACCATAAGAAATCACTTACTTAAATTCAAAATCGGCAAAGAGACGGTCAAACTTGAGCAAATTTTCCTTGATTTGTTCCGTGTAATGGGCTGTGTCGCGAAGTGATTGATCCTAAATTGAATGAATGGTTTCAGAGCCGTTCTTTCAACTAATGCAATGTTTAAATGATTTTCACTTGTGGCTATACAATAGTTCTAGCTTTTTGCGCTTACAACAAGTATTTACGCTTACGCTTTACGCTTACAACAAGCAGAAAATAAAAACCTTGAGCATATCCCTGAGTGAATCGAGATGCCTTGTCAACTCTTTAGCCAACGGTCGTATCCTCTCACTTTCTGCTTCATGATCAATGATATTTGAGCCAGCAGCCAAACACTAAAAAAAATTAGATGTTCCCTCTGAAAACCCTTTCTATTTTCGACACATTTCTCAATACTAATCCCTTAAGAAAATTTGCTCTATTTGTTAAGCTTATAGGTCAATAATTTTATGACCCAATGAACACGGACCACAAACTCGCTACATTTCACACTTCAGCGGAAATAAGATGCTAGAAAGGCAGAAGAATTCATAGAACTAGTAGAGATCAAAAAACAGAGTCCTTGATTTGACTTAACTTGTATATGTTAAGTTCGATTTTGAAACCTTTTTAACAGAATAATGTTTTTGCATTAGAATCACTAAATTACTAAGCAAATTATAGTTTTTGCATAAGTTCCTTTGTGCAAATGAAATGAAATGTAAATGAAAAAGCACAAAATGAAAAAAAGATGCATTTCTTTTGTAATGTTTTTGATAAACTATTGTTTGAATGTTGATTAATAAATAAAAACAGCGTAATTTCGATAGTTTTAAGATAAATCTTCCGTTAAGATATTAAAGTGCTGAACAAAACTAGAATCGTGTTTAATTTGACTAGATTTGGTCGAAAAATTTAATAAAATTCTTTGCGAAATGACTTTTCTAGGTGAAAAGAGGTTTGGAAGATAAAAGGTTTCAAAATCGGGCGTAACGTATAAAATTGCTTGAGTCAGATCCAGTAAACGTTTGCTACTCAACTCACTTACGGCTTACTCAACTTACTTACACCTTACTCAACTTACTTACACCTTACTCTTTTGCGACAACAGCCGCAAACAGTTTACTAAACTATAAATCATAACATAGCATCTACTTGGAAGCTTTAGAAGAGTTAAGATCTTATAATATTCTTGTCTAGAACAAACCTCAGCTCCAAACCAGAGTTGACCAGGCAAATTCTCGTGAACAATTTCATCAGGAAACTTCACACGAAAATCCCGGCACGCTCTATCGGCTTCTCGTGGAAACAAAGTGACCAACATCTCGCCTAAAATTATAGTTTATGCAAATTTTTATTAAATTCTTTTAGCTTTTTTCCCTTTCTCAGCTTTCCATTCCTACTTTAAGCTTTAGCAGCAAAATCTTTTCCAAATACTACCTCGCAAAAATTTTGATGTGTGGTACATCAGAATTTTAGTATTCCCGGAACCCTTCAACTCTACAGAGTTTTTTTCGACTCCAAAACTGATTCTCAGACACCCACCGATAATGTGAAGCACGCGATCTTGGGCGACACGCAACTTGTTGACGAGATTGTTGCATCTCTCTGGGTCTCTGAAAGAAAAGAAGTATTGTGTTGAAAATGACTGATTTACAAAAATACGTTGATTCTTTAACTCCAAAAGTTGGCTAAGTAACAATTACTAACCACTCAATTTTCAAACAATTACTAACTACTCAAGTCAAAGCTATTTGGCTGTCCAGAAAGTCTTTTAGTGTCTTTTAGTTCCTTAGTTAGTAGCCATTTAGCCTTACCTTTTTACCCACCAATCCTTTTTCTAAAATAATTAGACACCAAACACTAGAAGAAAAACCCCAAGAAGATCGCACCGATTTTATTTGGTAGATTTTCTGCGATTTAGTTGAAAGAGAATTGGTTAAGCTAAGTCTATACGGCACGTACAAAAAGATTTGAAGACAATGGAGTAAAAGGGAGCCGAGAGAAACGAAAAAAACCATTTTAGAAATTTAAAATGGAAACATAGGCGGAACAATATAAAAAGGAGGGGACGAGGAGAGAAGGAGTACTTTAAAAACGCGCTACAAGAACATAATAGATTAGGAAGGGGAAGAAAACTTATCGGGACTCAGCATCAACGCCGGCCAACATTCACGATTCCATCTTGGAATGTCGTAAAATGAAAAGAATGGCAAAAGGGAAACTTCTGTGCGGGGTACGGTAGCGTATTCACGCTTTAGAAAGCGCGCCGCACCGCTTTTGCGCTATTTCTTTTAAAATAGGATTCTAACTCCTTTCTCCGTTGAAAATGAACAAATTCACCAGTTAACCTATGGTTTGCTCTAAATAAAAAGTGTTTATTGTTCAATTTCCCATCTTTTTAAGTCAATTTGGATTCACTTTGCAAATTCGTGAGTGGAAAAAGTGTTAGAGTGAAAACGTTGCAAAAAAAACTATAAAAAGCTCCTCTACCAGCTAGTTCCTCTACAAAGGAACTAGCTGAATCGTCAATTTCGGTTCACTTTCAAGCAAATCCGAGAGTGTTTTTGTGTAAAAATCTATAAAAACCTCTAGGAAGAAATTGGCTGAATCAATTTCTCAGAAAATTTGGCTATTTACCAAACTTTTTATGCTCTATCTTTTATCTATTGACACCAAGATAGGTTTCCTTAGCTAAAATGGGTCTTTTCTAAAGCTAAAGTGTCCGCATAATCGAGCCGTCGCCTTTTTGACTATCCGACTTCATGCTCCCATAAAAATCCAGAAATAAGACATTGTTAAACCCGTTTTAATGTTATTTTGCAAAAAATGATTGGCCTTTCTAATGAAACAATAGCTTAATTGGTGCATTTATTGGTTTTAAACGAAAGTCCGAAAAGACTTTCTGGACAGCCTAATAAATAGTTCTGTTCAATTTGCTGATTTGATTCTCCAAATCAAAAGAAATCTAAATTTTGTTCGTCCCACTGAAAATCAATTGTGTGCACTTCGGCCTTTGACTCTTTCCTTTCCCCTTTTTCCCCCGAAGTGTGTTTTTTGTCGTCTCGTCAGGGTCCATCCAGGTCCTCTTTCAGTCACCCTTTTCCCCTCCCTTCACCCCTTTCCCCGCAAAGGAATGAACTTCCGCAACTCTCGAAAATTGAACACCCGATTCCCGGAAATTATGATCAAAGAGCAGCGGAAAATGGTTAGACTTCTAAACTGGAAAAAGGCAAAGAAAATGGCGTTAGCATGGACCGAACCAGGGTCGCAAGAATTGGAGGCGAGAACTCTACCCGCTAACCATGAGGGAACGTTTTGGCTGCCCGAAGGAAGCCTTTATAAAAACGTGCCTCGTTTTCGGGTAGACTAAAGAATTTCAAAGCGGTTTCTCTCAAAAACTAGCGATTCTTAGCAAAAACTGAAAGAACCATCATACTCGCTGTTCGATAGGCGTTTACATCTCATTTTTGGTGTCGAAAAGATCATGACAACTTCTGGACTTTAATCCCTTGTAAAATAGCTTCTTAGGCCTAGCTTGTTTTTCAAATCCCTGCTTTTAAATATTTCTAACAGTCTACAGTGATCAAATATTCACCTCCTTCCATCAAATGAATCTAATTCCGAGGCGATGTCGTTTAAAGCCTCGTCTGCATAGTAGAATTTCGCCAACGGCGCCCAATCGTCTGGCCTCGGTTTATTCAAGATCTTCCGCAAGGCATGCATCTGAAATTTCACTTGTTAGCTACAAAAATCAATTGATAAATCGTTTAGAAAATCAAAATAAATCTTCAGATCAAAGTAAAACTAGCAGTAGCTTTGAAAAGCTGATTTAACAAAAAATCTTTGGTCCATTGAAATTTAGAACAAGGAAGTCGATGGAACTAGATATAAATATTTTCAAAATATTATTGAATCACTTCCCGGTTAAACACCTCAACTCTGACAGCTGATCAATCAAAATCAATTGCGAAATGAATTATGGCAAAGAAGGGAAAAATGATGAGAAAGGATGAAGAGAGGATAATCTTGAGTTTATAAAATCTCAAAGCAATTTTAGAAATTTCTGTAATCGCCAAAAGATAATCATGATATTGGCAAGAGTTTTCCTGTAATCGTCTCAAGAGAAATTAATGCGACCCAGATAAAAACTGCTTTTAATAGATCAATTGCAGTCTATGAGATTGGTAATATCAATTGCAGATTGATAGAAGTGCAATGGCTGACCAATCCTCATCGAAAAACCAAAAGAGATACGTCAGAATGGGATTGCCCGTCAATATTTGCCAATTCAATTAGCCCTCTCTTTCTCGTGAAAAGAAAAGACAGAACTTTCGTAGCTAACTAATTTTTTGGGGAAACAAGACTTTGAGGGCCCAGGAAGTACATTTTTTTGATCATTGAAGGTTCAAGAAAAATAGGCTGGGATTAGAATTATTTCAATGGATTGGATTTCAAGTCTTTGGTAAATTTGGTATGGTAAATTCCAAATATTTAGTGGGAAAAGGCAAAATTTCAAGTAAGTATTTGGCTATTTATTTAGCTAATCAAAATAATGCGCTGTTTTTCTGTTTATCTCGTTTTTCTCGACTGATCAATATTATGAAAAAGAGAAAAATGAAAAAAACAAAGGAGTGAGAAAGTGCCGTATCAGCTACTCATCTTATTTTTATTTGTTGATCTATTGCTAAAGATTGACTAGACTTGAGAAAATCTAGTCAATCTTTGGAAATAGATGAACAAGTAAAAAGTCTAGTCATTGATTGACTAGAGGTTCTCTAGTCAATCAATGACTTTAAACGATCGTTAGATGCGAAAATTGTATGTGTTAGAGGTTTTTGTTGTGATAAAACCCTGATTCACTTTGAAGGGTCTTGTTTACAAACATTAATTCGAAGAAATGTCCAATAATTAGCTGAACTGGTTACCGTATTTTCTTTAATAGTAGTGCGCACCGGCGAGCCGAGTTGGTGACTATTTTACGGTTTCCAAGCTTTTTGCAGAAGCTCAACACTCTAATCTCCCACTAGATCTCATCGTCAGCTACATTTTCCGACCCCACATCGATAGGTTCTGCTAAGCGGCTCCGGAGATTTCGAGGAATTTAGGCGACGCTCAGGGCATCTTGAAAAAGGCTTGCTGGCTTGCTGGATTGCTGGATTGCTGGCTTGCTGGATTGCTGGATTGCTGGCTTTTTGCAAAAGTTCCCCAGTTATGGTTTTACGGATTTTATAAGGTAAAAACATCCAGTTTCAATCCAGTAAAACGCAACTTTCTTGTGCTAAAATAGCATAGTTTTAATAATTCCAAATCTCTGTTGACACACTTTTTAATGGCACGTGGATGGGTGCAGAAAATTTTAATTTTGAGCCAGAATCTTAAATGTGCGAAATGGGGAAATTTTCCAAGAATGGGTGTGAATTTTCAGAGTTCTTTTCCCTTCCCTCTCCTCTAACCCGTCATTGTCAGCCCCTCAAAAGGAAGTGAGATTCAAACACAATGCATTGAGAAAAGAAAAGAAGTGAAGAAGTAAAGAAGTAAAGAAGTAAAGAACTTTGACTCAATGAACTCTCCATCAGCATCTTGGGGAATGCTTGGAAAATAGAGGTCAGCATTTTTAAGCAGGTGGTTGAATGAAGAATGGAGTTGAATAGATTGGTTATCAGTTTGAGGAAGTTATTGAGAGGAAAAGTTGTAGAAAATCTATCATTTTTTTTGGTTTAGCTGACAAAAGCAAGCTTTTAAGCAGAATTATTAAGTTCATGAAGCTCAAGATACAAATTTTCGATTTTGATATGTTCACTTGTGAGCGTTGATGGCTGAACACCTCAAAGATGAGCATTTTCACCATTTTGCGCACAGCTTACTAGATAATTTGTCAATTTTATAGGAGTAATATCATGTTTTCAAGAATTAAGCACTTAAACTAAACATTTTACAATTGAACTAAACATTTTACAATTGAATATGACAATTACAACTGAATCTTGGGAGTGGGACAAATTTGCGACATTTGCGCACCTTTTTTTCCGCACTTAGCCCATTAGCGCACCTTTTTTTGTGTTTCAAAAAGCTCTAAAAGCTAACATTAACCAATTTCTATTCCAAATGTTGTTTTTCTAGGTAATTTAAGGGTGTCGAATTCAAATTTTGACATAACAGAGAGTGTGGAACCAATTTGAAAGACAAAACAGACAAAAAAGATCAAATTACAGAAAATTGTTGATTTTTCTCTTTGTATAACTCCGTCCGTTCGCTTCCACAAGCTCTGATATGCCAAAATTTCGATTCTACGCCCTAAAATTACCTAGAAAAACAACTTTTGGAATAGAAATTGGTTAATATTAGCTTTTTAGAACTTTTTAAAACGCGAAAAAAGTTGCGCTAATGGGCTAAATGCGGAAAAAAAAGTGCGCAAATGTCCGGGTGCGCAAAAAAAGGTAGCATTTGTCCCACTCCCAAAAGGGCCGTTTCAAATCTCATTGGACAGACTAGGAAATCAATTTTCTTCTTATTTTCTTATTAATGTTAATGTTATTGTTAATATTTTTGCATTGTTTCTTTATTAAATGTTATTTAACTTTTATTTTTTAGATAATGGGTCGTTGGAAACCTCTTTCTGCGTACGACAAAGGCCAAATTGGCGCTCGATCTAATGCTAAGTGCGGGCTAAGTGCTAATGGGCTAAGTGCGGAAAAAAAAGTGCGCAAATGTCCGGGTGCGCAAAAAAAGGTAGCATTTGTCTTTTCCCATGTCTTTTCCCTGAATCTTTTCCCATGAGGCCATCTGGTTTCTTTGCGGTTTCTTTTTCTTCATTCCAAATAAAATTTTTTGGCGCCAACCCCGTTCATCAATTTTAGCAGATAACTGAGAACTTTATAACCAAGTATTTTAAAGTATTTAAAGTATTCAAAGTATTCAAATTATTGAAATATTTGATATATAATATATTAAAATATTATATTTAAAAGTTTTCTGAATCAAAATCAAAATCAAAATCAAAAATCTAAACCCAATAATATTGACATCATTGGGATTGAAAAGAAAAAGTTTTGACGAGAGAAAACTCTGTTTTCCTTTTTCCTTTCTTGAGCAAAAGAGTATCACTACCAAAACTTGTAAACAGAAAGTTCAATAGAAAAGTTTTTCAAAAAGTTTTATCAAAAATTTCTAACAAATATTATAACAAACATTTTCATTTTAATTATGGATCGTTTTTGTTACGAATTAGTCAACAACGAAACACGAATTGGGGAAATCTATTGAAATTGTTAATAGAAATCTATTGAAAATGTCAATAGACTTAAGAAATTGTTGATTGAAAGGTTGATTGAAAGGTTGATTGAAAGGTTGATTGAATTATTGAATTATTGAATGAATTGAATGAATTATTGAATGAATTATTGAATGAATTTCACAAGAATGATTGAGTTATCTGTTTTCGAGAATAAAACGATCAATTCTTTTGTCGAGGCAACAAAATTTTTGCCTAGCGAGTGATAAGGAAAAGACGAAGCGTTCTGTGAAGGCTCTTAAAGGGGAGTGTAGAGATTTTGGTGTTTTCGAAAGATTTCAACGAGTTTAGGATTAAGATAAGAAATGAAATTGTGGAAATGACCACTCTAGAAGAGTCTAAGATGTATGAAATAGTTTAAGATGTTTAAGATGTATGAAATCAGTATGAAAATTGAGGAGTTGGCACAATTTCCCACTAGGTACAATGTTTAGAGTTTAGCTGACGCTTGCTCGATCGAAAACCATTGCTTTTTGGCTGAAATGGGTAAATCAAATCGTAAAACTTGTCAAAAAAGCTAGGATTGAATAAAAAGATATATGAAACTATCCTGAAATCTTTAGAATCTTGTTGTAAACTATGTCGGCACTAGAACTAGAACTATTGGCAATGAAAGAAAATGGTTTATTGGGTTAGAGAGTATAAAACGGCGGCATCTTCAGACGAACTTTTAAAAAAAACTAAACGATAAGTTTTTCTCAAATTTTTTTCTAATAACAATTGAAGTTTTGTTGATTAAACACCAAAATTTGATTCCAATCTGATGAATAGTTTTTCAGAAATGGCAATGAATGAGCTAAAGGCCGATTTTTGACTACCACGACATAGCTAAACTTGAACGACGTAAAACAGTAGTTTGATGCTAGTTTGATGCTAGTTTGATGCTAGTTTGATGCTTTTAGTCCGTCAAAAAGCCTTGTGGAGGGTATAATCGACAAGTAACCAAATTGCCAAAGTTGGAATAAGTTTTTGAATTTTAGAATAGATCCAAAATGTTTGTGATATCAAATCGTTGAATCTCGCAACCCAAGAAAGTCGAGAGGTCGATTGGGGGATTTCCTCGAACAGCAAAAATCATGTGACATCTCTTTTCGAGTGCAAAAACACATGAGAAGAGATACTCTCTGTGTTTGGGAGAAAAAAATGGCAGTCGTCGAGAACATTGGCCGGGAAAAATGGGGGGAGGGGAAAAGAGGTGGGGAAAATTGAGGGGGAAGTGAATAGGGGGAGGGGCTCTCGATCGATTCTCTCTCTTTTTCAGAGAGAGAGCGGGATCTTTCCCCTCTCAACCCCTTCATTTTTGCCACTTCATGAAAAAGGAATCTTTCACCCATTTGCTTGAAAATTGTGAGGTCATTGGGCTTAGGATAAAGACTTTGCAAGAGTTTACAGTCTTATAAACTTTCTAAGACTTTATAGTCAACTTTATAAA